TCACACTATTATACTCTATTTACTACTAACCAAATGCCAAGTATGCTGATCATGTACTTGAACGAGTATTGATATCTCCCTTGACTTTGAAAAACTCTGTCACTGATCCTGAACGTCTTACATTGGGTGACTGATTACTTTGGACGACCCTGTGCTAGTTGTGGAACGCAGAATAAATGTTTCTTCTGGAATTGTGACCTTCTTGTCTCGTAAAGAGTTCATGTTCAGTGGAGAAGACGATTGTTAAAACGTACAGCTCTTCTGAAATTCTCCCCTTCCTTTCCTTCTTCATGGAAGATTGTTACGCAATTAATTATTACGTCCTCTTCGCTTTCAGTTGAGACCTCGACGACCTCAGTTGCCATTGTCGCGCATTGAATCAAAACAACGAGAACACGAGGCTGTACGGCTGTACGAGCTAACATCCGGCATGGAATTTTACGAAGTCGACGCATCAGCCAAAACGGTTAATCACATTAAGTATTAACTGGAAAGGCCGTAATTGCAAACCACAGCGTTAAATTGTAAGCTGATATAATAAACCCCGATGCGCTGTAAAACAAAACACTTGGCTCGCGCTTGCTAAACAACCGGATGCCGACCGTTCTAAAGAGTGTTATCACCGCAGACACTTTTTTTTCACCGAAAACCGCGACTTAGAGGTTGTAATAACCACGCACCGCTTAGTGTTTTCAAAACGCAATACCGCGAGTTAAAATAAAATTACCGCAAAACCGCATCACCGCAAACCCTTACGTCCCCCTCTTTGCACACTCGACCGTTCTTATGTTTGGAAATGTTAATGAATAATCGAAAGATTTCCTATTTTCTCAATCAACCGCGATTTATCTTTGACCTAAAATGAATGATTTTCTGGGATCGCCAGGGGGCAAAAATTGCGAGTCGCTACAAAGACGGAAATGTATAGCGTGGAGTTGTTTCTCCATTAAAAGCGATGTCTTTGGACAGAGAATGCCCCATTTTGCCGTGATTTTATGAGAAACGGAGGTGACTAACGTTGGGGCGTTGAAATTTCAAGTTTCTGTGTGATTAATGCGATAAATTATATCGATAAACACTCCTTGCGTGAGGTTGAGGGTGAAATTTATGTTTACTGAGTTTACACAGTGAGCTACATGAAGAAAAGGTCTCGACATATATAGTGCAAATTTAGGTATACATGTAGGGGGACTGGCTCTTTTAAGCGTTTAAGTTATAATTAAGTGTGGTGATATTTACGACGAGTGTAACTACGCTCGGCCGCGATAAGCGCTGTTCGGGTTATGACAAGACAACTCGTTAACAAGTTAAAGTATGTACGTGGCCATAAAAACAAAAAATCATCCTTTACTTTGGTATAAACAAAGTGACATCTACGAAATATTTCATGGAAAGTACATGGTATAAGTAAAGTAAGCTGTTTTTTATTGAAATTCTTTCATTTTCATAGGTTACAGAAACGATAGGGTTTTTTCCCATACAAATCCTTATATTTTGAATGTTACGCAACAATGCCGATGTTCATATTTCGAGCTTGGGCTACCTGTGGTTAAATGGAGTCCCTAGCCACGTGCTTATCGCAATCCGGATGTTGAAATTCTTCCTGGGTTTGCTTTCCTACAGCTGTACCTCGCTTTTTGGTTCTTATTGCCAGGTTTAGATTCTTCGTAACTGTTCTTAGCAAAGGGAAAGGAAATAAATATACAGGCTAGGTACAATGTACGTACTCTGATCGTACTCTGATCACGCATGTTTTGATCATCTGTCAGGTGAAACTTAAGCAAAGCACACTTATGTCCATGATCGATGTTGTGTGTAAAGCGCAGCGTTACATCAAAAGCGTTTGGACCTCTGATCGTTGTCGCCCGCACTCCCTAACCTTTGGTTATTTCTTGTTTTAAATCATGTCTTTTTAATTTCGTAACGGGCACTCGGGTACCTTATTATGAGGGTGTGACTGGGGGTACCTCGATAATAGTAAACACTTCATTTTTTGGCTTTGTAACATCAAACAAGTTTTAGGCATTTTAATACTAACAGTAAAAAATTCTTTAAAACAGTATTTCTTTTTTTCCAGAAACTAAGCAAAAACGGCTCCAAAACGGCCAATGTTATTCAATTATTAGAAAAATTATTTCTACCTGGAGTTATGAAAACCGGGTTAGCAAACATTTTCTAATTTTTCTTAACTTCCGCTGTCTAAGAGCTTGTTTAGTGTGTTGTTTGCTTATGTCTTTTTTTTTTTTTTGGGCTTGTTTTGTGGTTAGGTATTTCTGCAGAAGTGGATGTAGACAGAATTACTATCTTACCCCCCTCCCTCCCTTCCCTACTTTTTTTTTGTTCCTACTCACAATTTTCTCTTTAACACAAGTGACAGTTATTTGAAATCAGTACGCGCCTAAAGCTGGTTTCGGTCCCGTTTAGCAGTTTACTTTTAGATATTGGTCACCAACTAAGTTTTTTTCATTCTGGTTATTTTTGACCATTCGGGCTCGAGGAATAATTGTTAAATATTCTCGTTTCATTTGGCTAAATTATTAAACGGATCAATCACCCTGATCCGGACTGAGACACAAAGGTACGATATTGTTCACGTTAAGTAAAATCACACTAAACGAGGCCGGCAATAATAATTAGAGATGGGCAAATTTGGGATAGTTGAGACTTTAGGCCATCCTCTTTCTTTTCTCCGTCTAGCCGCGTCGTCCGACCGACCAAAATTTTTGGCATTTTCCAAAAACCAAAAAAAGTAACTTTTTCACTTGAAATAATTCTTTTAATCTGAAAAAATGAGCATATAGTAACAGCATAGAGTAAAACAGGAACAAAAACAAGAACACTTTTACAGTATACTGTGCATTTTGTTAATCCAAGTATGCGAATGTTAACTTCGACTTCTTGTGACTTTTTTTTTTTCAATCCGACCAACAGACCTAACATCAGGAAACACATTCGACGCTACACCCAAAAAATAATTGGGGGGATGGCTTATCTTAGTTTTTCTGTCTGCATAATTTCTGATAAAGGTATTGTACAGCAAATGTTTACTTTTTTCCTACATGTACCTTGCAGCTCCCAGTTCATGCAGAACACTTGATGGTCTATTTTAAAATAGTACCAAAAGCTCATGTAATACTCGTTTTAAACTTACGACTCACTGGAAGACCACTGCTGTAAAAGTGATTCGAGATGGAAAAAAAAGAAAGAAAAGCACTCCATTTGAGGGTCAATGTATAAGCACGAAAGTGCCAATTGGGGACACTATTTTTACTTCTCATACTGGAGATGGGACCGCCATTTTACGTGGTCATCTGAGCCACACGAAGGTTTAGCCATTTGCAGCAGGGCAGAAGTAGAACCTTCATTTCTCAGTCATTTTAAGACTCTGAGTATTGGTCCAAACCCGCGACCTCCCACTCTGCAATCAAGTGCTCCACCGACTGATCTAATCCTGCTGCGACTGAGATTAAGTTTAAATAAGATAGTACTACAGTGGAACGTAGAACCTAGATATAGGGTCGTGCAACAACAATAACAACAACGATAGAATCAGAAATTAATAGAATCAGAAAGAAAGCTTGACTGAAAGTTTTCACCAGTCCTCAAAGGATCATCTCATGTAAAATAGAGGTGTTCAGTCTCATAGTTCCATCATGGGTAATCAGGGCAAGACGGCGGGAAATTAGAAGATTTGTGTTAGAATTCAAAGCCAGCTATTTCTCCCTGAATTCTTACATTTGATGGTTTCTCTTTGAAAAGAGTAACTTACGAGTTGAAAGAAACAATACACTAAATCTGGAGTGAGGCGTATTCAAAAGGCTGACAGCACTTCATGACTTCCGTTTTGTATATTTCATGGACAAAAGCAGAGTCTATGAGTTGATCCACTATCGTTTGGGACGACACCTAGTCTCTCTTACATTCTGCTGCAATTCGATTGACGCGTTCTTCATCCGCTAGATAACATGCTGAGTACAGATCTAGTTCGATGACACATCTTTCACGAAGTTCAACATGCTTTAACTCATTCCCGACAAGCAGCTTCCATCACCAGTTACATTCAATGAAACACACTCCGGAGATGGGTCGATTTGTTCGCCTAAATTAAATCCACGTTTTTGATACAATCAAAACTCGAAATTACTGACCTAAGATAATAACACGTGTACAGGCGGAACGATTCCTTGAAAAAAAATTCTCCGACAACTCTATGTATTTGATGGCAAACGTTGATTAAAGAATCCCAACCAATTTCCAACGCTTTTGTTCATTTCTTCACGAATTCTGGCTGTAGTCGCATTCTAGGCTTGGCGCCGCCATTTTGGATTTGCCATTATTTGCCAGGCGTTCTCGGCGAATTTTCAAGACAAGCTTGACAGGTGACGTCAAATCCGAAATCGCCGAGGACGACTGGGAAAGAGGCCTCATTAATTCTTACCCAAACGCGAACTTTCAAGCACTAGAATCTCGCGTTCTATCTTGAACTTCAAGAGTGGCGTTCTGGGGTCGGCGACCTGACTCACAGACGTAAACACATGCGCACTATATTCACACTAGCGCGAGTAATTTCCGGTCGGCGCTCGTGACCTCAAGAACGTCTGCTGCTTAAGCTCTCTAATAAAATGTTCAGAAGTAAAATTTCGAAAAAGTCGCTAAGTTTGGTAGTTAAAAAAATTAAGTAGGGAAGGTTAAAGAGAGCAGAAGAAGAGGGGCGGGTAGGGCGGTTTTGGGCTCAAAGGCCAATCAGGTCTGAATAGGCCCAAAAAAAAAAGTGCTAAAAGTGGGACATGTTTTGCAATTGCCGATTACCATAAAGTGTTAACCATTTAAACCCTGCGAAAAACAAGGAGTAGCACTTTAAATTGAAAGTGACATAATTCAAGGAAGGGGACCTTAAAAAAAATGTTATATATAACATATTCCGTGACTTCTAAATCTTATAAACAAGGCAAAGAAAAAACAACATAAATCAGCACAACCTTTTATTTCAGCATATAAGGAAACAAACTCCTAAAGCTTACATTTCTCCACATCAGCTCTATGCTACTATAAACTGACCTACGTTAAACAGTGGAGCAACCACTGTTTCGGCTGTCCCATGTAGCCCTTATTCTATTTTTTTCTGCTACGGAGAGGTGTACACTCTCGTGGCAAACAACTCATCCAGGGCCACTAACAGATCAGCAATTAGCCATACAATAAACTTGGTTAGCCCATGGTCCACCTTCGCCATCAGAACCGCAAGCTGTAGACTTTCCATACTTGTCAAAGGTCTCTGGTGCTGCAGCACTGGCTGCACACCAGCCACCATGTTGAACTGCAAACATGCTGTAACCAGCTCTAGAGGCAGCCACGGCGCACTTTTTAATGGGGTTCTTCCGACTCAAATATGATCCATCCAAAATAGGATCCTTTCCTTCCAAGGGCTGGATTGCTCGATTTGAGGTGTCCTTGTAACATCCAATAGATGCTAAAATTTAATCAAAGTTAAAATATCAAAGCTGATATCTCTTGAAGGAGTCACAGAGGATTACCTGACGTTTTTTGTTGAAACGTTTGTGAATAAATTCCTTTTCATAGTTTACCATAACAGTAAAGTCTGCAGTTAGATAAGCACAACTTAAGATATCATACACTAACCTTTGATAACATAAACTTGATTAGCCCATGGTCCGCCTTCGCCATCGGATCCACAAGCTGTAGACTTTCCATACTTGTTAAACGTCTTCCCTGCTGTAGCACTGGCTGCACACCAGCCACCATGTTGAACTGCAAACATGCTGTAGTCTCTTCTCATTGCAGCCGCGGCACACTTTGCAATGGGGTTCTTTCGAGTCCAATATGCCCCATCCAAAATAGAATCCTTTCCTTCCAAGGGTAGGATTGCTCGGTTTCCGGTGTCCCTGTAGCATCCAATGGATTCATACCCTGAATGTAAAAGAAACTTTGATATAACAGCAGGGCCTGCGGGGTGGGGGGAGCAAAGGGCCTTACGGCTCCCCCATTCCCCACCCCATTTGTGTCATGCAAAAAAGTATATTCTTTCCTAAAGATCTTCATTAAAGAAATTCAGTCTTTGATAATAGACTAAGGATCTGGTTCTTTGCCTTAACCACAATAAGTCTTCAGTACATGAATCCTATGAATTAGCCGCTGCTTAAAGGTTGGAAAATGCCTTAGAATTGCAGATAAAATAACTTCAATAACTTTCAGCAAAGGTGTAAAAAATAGCATAATCGTCCGTGTAAGGGACTATGAAGAAACCATTTGCCTGCGGCATGTGAACTTGAAGAACACCTCTTCTTCACAAGTAAACTTTACTCATTATTTTTGAGAGGAGGTGTCTTGATGTTTTTTTTTTTTTTTTTTTTAATGTGCGACTTACTATATATATATAGAGAGAGAGACCAGTGAACATCTAACTGAATAATATATATACACAATTCTTTATATATATACAAATTCGTTTTTTGAGTAGAACGCATTTCGTAGAGCGCTCGACTCAATTTATTGAGGAGCATCAGCTATAAATTCACAGAAGTTCAGGTTTCACGAGTAATCATCGTTTTATTGCTACAGAACTTTTTCGTATCGTGCAAGGACCTCACTCATCAGGCAATTTTGACGATTGAAAAATTGCCTGATGAGTGTGGTCCTTGCACCATACGAAACAGTTCTGTAGCAACAAAACGATGATTACCGTCGTGAAACCTGAACTTCTGTGATCGGAAAGTTAGATATATCCGATGGCTGGAGAATTAAACGCACCTTGTATAAAATATCGTTTCTATATGTATCTATTCAATTCTTTATTGTAATAATGAAACAAATATCTATTATGTCAGCATTTGAAAGAAAATTAAAATAAAATACTTAAATTTTTAAGACGTGTACTTTGTTTATGGACATTTACAAACATTTTGTTCACTTTTGCACATATTTTGCTGCGATTTGTGTTCTTCCTGTTTTCCTTCCATTGTTATTTTATTGAAGAAAAAAACAAACAAACAAACAAACATCTTGCACAGTTTCCTTGTATTTCTCCGAGTATATTGTGCAAACATTCTTTGCACTTTTTGTAAACATTGTAAAAAGATTTTTTTCAACTTTTCATTAACGTTTTCCACCTTTATTTTGTTAAATTTACGAAGATTTTGTTGACATTTCATCTTATCTATTATACAGAGTTTTTTCCTTGAGTATTTTACAAGGACTATGTTCACATTTTAAAAGGTGGAAAGGTTTAAGATTTCTGTAAATGTAGATTGAATTTTACAAGGAAAACATTAGGATTTCATGGACATTTTATGCGATGTAGTCTCGCAAAAAGTGGTCAAATGGGTTTATAAAGTGTCTGTAAGAGTGCAAGTTTATAGAAATTGTAATTTACAATTAAGTACGGGAACATCAAGCTTTTTAACAAAAAGTGACATGCATGGAAACGCAATGAATTCAGCTTTTCGACAATAATTATCAATTCCTTCTTTGCTAAGAAAAATCTGAGCGTGGCGTCCGGCCATCGCAAAGGCAAAGCGTTCTATTCTCGGTCAAGCCTGAATTTTCAGGTTCTTTTGCAACCGCTTAGGTTGTTCATTCTATCGCTAAAATCCCGTTAACTCTTTTATAACCGCTAGATCCGTTTGAACCCGCATAGAAGATGTCCTCGGATCTCTTACCCCAACCCCCACTTTCCTTAGCATGCTCAGTTGAATCCACTGGTTCCCGCCCTTCGGAAACTTCTGCGCGGACCCTGTAATTTCAAATATGCATTTGAATTTTGAGAGTTGATGCCTTTAACGGTTTAAAGAAAGTTTACGAAAATGGTTCCTGAGTTAACTTTTCTGTCACTTATCTGATGGTGAACCCATGCAGTCATTAGCGTAAAGCCAGGTTTTATACCAAGAAAAATTATTTTGAAGATGCTTGGCAACTATTATCATTTTGCACTAGCTGATGTCTCTCATCTAAATAAATGACGGGCGTGTATCCAAAAGCTACCTTACCTTTGATCACATAAACTTGATTACCCCATGGTCCGCCTTCGCCGTCATCCTTACAAGATGTAGATTTTCCATACTTGTCAAACGTCTTCGCCGCTGTAGCACTGGCTGCACACCAGCCGCCATGTTGAACAGCAAACATACTGTAACCTGCTCTTATAGCCGCTGCAGCACACTTTGCAATGGGATTCGTTCGAGTCCAATATGTTCCATCCAAAAGGGAACTCTTTCCTTCCAAGGGTTGAATTGCTCGACTTGGCCTGTCCCGGAAGCATCCAATGGATTCATATCCTGAATACAAAACTAAACACAGGATAAAACATCCGTGTATGAGAATGGACTTACGTTTTTAAAGTTACGAGTTCCGTCACTTTTAACTGATGGGGATATCTTTATATTTATTTATCATAGTTGTCGTGCCTTGTTACCTTAAGATCTGCTCCATTACGATATGTTACACAATAGTTACCTTCAGAATTAAATAACTGTGACAAAAAGCTGGTTGCATAAAAAATGAAAACGTGTCCAATATTCTCGGTAACTGATAGCATGAAATGGCTCATGTCTCATCATCAAATTCAGATTGGAGGCGTGTCTCGAAACACAGTCTTACCATTGATCACATAGACTTGATTACCCCATGGTCCACCTTCGCCGTCATCCTTACAAGCTGTAGACTTTCCATACGTGTTAAACGTCTGTGGCGCTATTGCACTGGCCGCACACCAGCCGCCATGTTGAACTGCAAACATGCCGTAACCCGCTCTCATTGCAGCTGCGGCACACTTTTCCACAGGGTTTTTTCGACTCAAATAAGATCCATCCAAAACAGGGTCCTTTCCTTCCAAGGGGTGGATTGCACGATGTGCGGTGTCCTTGTAGCATCCAATGGATTCATATCCTTAATAAGCAAAGATCGTTTAAAAGCCTCTTGAGCTATGAAAACTAACGACTTTTCTAAAAATTATCTAGGAACATTTGAAGGCTGTCGTAACGGGTATGGCCAAGCATACTTTGAATTCTATGGCAGCCGAAATTTGACGGCCATTTTTTTCAAAATTTGCACTTTTCCTATAACAAGGATTTCTTTTTAAGTTTACTTGCTGAATTTTAGTGTTATATAGGGGTTTCTTTCTTTCTCAAATATATATTTGATCCTTATTAACTAATTCCAGGAGAGAGTCCAGAAAAAAAAACTGGAGTACCCAAGAAAAGCCTTCCGGGGCACGGGAGAGGACCGACAAGAAACTCAACCCACAACCTTTCGAATTTACGATGATATTTCGTCTGATGCTTCAAAAAGAAGAAAAAAGACACGACGGTTAGCTACTGGTGGCATGTGATGTCTAATAATGCGGGGTGTACATCGAAACACTATATCTAGCTGTCTCACCTCTGATTACATAAACGTCATTGGCCCATGGTCCACCCTCGCCATCAGATCCACAAGCTGTAGATTTTCCATACTTGTCAAAGGTCTTTGGTGCTGTAGCACTGGCCGCACACCAGCCACTATGTTGAACTGCGAACATGCTGTAACCTGCTCTTATTGCAGCCACTGCGCACTTCTCAATGGGGTTTTTTCGAGTCCAATATGCACCATCCAAAATAGAATCCTTTCCTTCCAAGGGTAAAATTGCTCGGTTTCCGGTGTCCTTGTAGCATCCAATGGATCCATATCCTAAAAGGAGATAAAAACGGACACAGAATAAATATTTCGAATACTGGGAGCTGGTGCTCATGAAAGGGTAAAATAGAGTGAATTTAAGAGTTGACTAGCGAGATCCTTTACTTTTATTTGATAGAGAGTCATGTCATCTTTTAGTTTATGGTTATTTTCCATAGTATCAAGCGTCAGTTCTACATCATAGTTACCTTTTCTGCTTTAGAATGAGAAAAAATTGGTTGCTCAAAAAAAAAAAATTTACTGGACGGCTGGCAACTGATAGCATACAATGGCTTGTGTCTCTTCTAAGTGACTGAGGGACCTACATCGAAACAACGTCTTACCGTTAACGACATAAACTTGATTCGCCCATGGTCCGCCTTCACCATCTGATCCACAAGCTGTAGATTTTCCATACTTGTCAAAGGTCTTTGGTGCTGTAGCACTGGCCGCACACCAGCCGCTATGTTGAACTGCAAACATGCTGTAACCCGCTCTCATTGCAGCCACGGCACACTTTGCAATTGGATTCTTTCGAGTCCGATATGCTCCATCCAAAATGGAATCCTTTCCTTCCAAGGCCTCGATTGCGCGGTTTGATGTGTCCCTGTAACATCCAATAGTTTCATACCCTAAGCATGTAAATAAAAGTAATGTTCTTGTCAAATCGACGTTTTATCTCTTTAAGGTTATTCGCGAGGTGATTAATGTGACTAGAGAGGAACCACATTATTTCACTTATATACTTTTTCATTTTCTTTTCTTTTCTTTCTTTTTCTTTCCTTCCAAGGGCTGAATTGCTCGACTCGGTTTGTCCAGGTAGCTTCCAATGGATGCTAAAATTTTATTTAAAATATAACATTACTGCTGGTACATTTTAAGAGAGTATATGAGAATTGCTTTCTAAGTTTTTTCTTTTAAGTTTCGTTGTCGTTGACAACGTTTTGGCGACAATGAACCAAGTCATTTTGAAAGTAGCATATATTATTCAGGTCTTCCTTATCACAAGGAAGATACTTTAGTTTACCTTTGATGACATAAACTTGATTAGCCCATGGCCCTCCCTCGCCATCAGATCCACAAGCTGTAGATTTTCCATATTTGTCAAAGGTCTTTGGTGCTGTAGCACTGGCCGCACACCAGCCGCTATGTTGAACTGCAAACATGCTGTAACCCGCTCTCATTGCAGCCACGGCACACTTTGCAATTGGATTCTTTCGAGTCCGATATGCTCCATCCAAAATGGAATCCTTTCCTTCCAAGGGCTCGATTGCGCGGTTTGATGTGTCCCTGTAACATCCAATAGTTTCATACCCTAAGCATGTAAATAAAAGTAATGTTCTTGTCAAATCGACGTTTTATCTCTTTAAGGTTATTCGCGAGGTGATTAATGTGACTAGAGAGGAACCACATTATTTCACTTATATACTTTTTCATTTTCTTTTCTTTTCTTTCTTTTTCTTTCCTTCCAAGGGTTGAATTGCTCGACTCGGTTTGTCCAGGTAGCATCCAATGGATGCTAAAATTTTATTTAAAATATAACATTACTGCTGGTACATTTTAAGAGAGTATATGAGAATTGCTTTCTAAGTTTTTTCTTTTAAGTTTCGTTGTCGTTGACAACGTTTTGGCGACAATGAACCAAGTCATTTTGAAAGTAGCATATATTATTCAGGTCTTCCTTATCACAAGGAAGATACTTTAGTTTACCTTTGATGACATAAACTTGATTAGCCCATGGCCCTCCCTCGCCATCAGGTCCACAAGCTGTAGATTTTCCATACTTGTCAAAGGTCTTTGGTGCTGTAGCACTGGCCGCACACCAGCCACCATGTTGAACTGCAAACATGCCATAACCTGCTCTTCTTGCAGCCTGGGCACACTTTGCGATGGGGTTCCTCCGAGTCCGATATGCTCCATCCAAAATGGAATCCTTTCCTTCCAAGGGCTCGATTGCGCGGTTTGATGTGTCCCTGTAACATCCAATAGTTTCATACCCTAAGCATGTAAATAAAAGTAATGTTCTTGTCAAATCGACGTTTTATCTCTTTAAGGTTATTCGCGAGGTGATTAATGTGACTAGAGAGGAACCACATTATTTCACTTATATACTTTTTCATTTTCTTAGCCTGGAATGCACCATGTTTATCAAACTGCATGCTGTTGCTGTTGTTGTTTTCATAATGTTTAATAACAAATCCGGTAGTAATGGGCCTCCAAATGTTTCTCTTAATCGATTATGGTGTTTGTGTTTTCATGCGAGCGAGCTCCATCAAAACTCAGATGTTTCTTCTTAAGAATAATATATTCCGCGAATATTGACTGTTTTTAACGGTTCGTTCTTTCTTTGCCGTTCGTAAACAGTAGTTAAAACAATATGTCTACTACGTCAACCAATCAGAGTTTCTGACCAGATTCCGGGCAGATCTTATTGACGTCAACAGTATGGATATTTCTGTCGCTGAGGCGAAACGCCTTAGCGCCGAGGAGCTAGGGGAGACGACTGTTCTCGCAGGCTACATTGGAAATAAAACGGTAAAGACAACGTACAAGTTTAAACAACAACAACAACAAAAGCATCACCATCAACAACTAACCAAAGGCCTATTGTTTTTAATTAATCCTTGACAAAATCCTTAAGATCCAATATTTCTGGAGTGTCTGCTAGCATTTTTTGATCACCAAAAGTATCGTAAGAATATTTAACACCAAGCTTCACTGACTCAAGAGATATTTCCGGTTTGCAGCTAACGTCACGGTTACGCTGTTGGTTAACAAAAACAGGAGGTGTGCCCCTTCGCTAATGACTCAATATTTCTTCATGCTTAGTCTCCCTCCTCCCCTCCCAAAACCAAAAACCGTATTGTTTGATTGCCTCGTACAGTGGTTCTAATTCAAGATTAACAGATCCCATTTTAAATTTTGCTGTGCACCCGTAAAAAAGTAGCAAGTATACTTTAAGCAAAGTTCTTGACATACCGAAATTCTCGCTGTCAACTGTAACGACTGCAATATACAGGAAGAAAGCGATCGGCAGCATTTTTTGTGCAGCGTTATGCATTGCTACTTTCATCTCTCTGAAAAAGAGAACATAAAACTATAACCACGTTTAGCAGAGAGGTGTTCTTTTTTGGCCAGCGATATATATGTGATGGTGAATTTTAAGCCTGTTGAATACATGAGAAGGATATTTTTCATTTAGCGACACAGGCGGTTCGGAACCTTTATTAGTTGCGTTCCCACCATTCGTTTGTAGCTCAGTGGCAAACACTCCGGGGTAGTGACCGGATGATCATAGGTTCGACTCCAGTGGGAGAACATGAATTTTTTCCTTCGATGCCGCTGTGTAAAAAAAGGGAAGTAACCTTTCGTTTTTGACTGAACACTGTGCACACCGGCGACTCGAAAAAACTCAAATTACTCCCGGTAAGAGTCAGACCTAGAACGGTCTGGTTGCTAGCTTCATGAACCTAGTTTAATGGCCTTAATTAGCTCCCACAATTCTCTTGCAGCTCAGTGGTAGAGCATCTGGACTAGAAACCATAAGTTAATTCATAGGCTCGACTGGAAACAATTGTGTCACAGAATGAAACAACATTTCAATGTTATGTTTTCACCATGGAGGCTCAAAACTCACCATCACATCTCTATCATTGCGATGGGTTAATTGTAGATCACTTTCAACACAATTTTGTAGTTAGATTATAACAGTGAATTGTCTCCCTCGCAGCCGTTTTTGGATGTCACGCATTAAGAGTGAGCAAATGACAATACTTTACCTCACAGAGGCACTCGGACTTATCTTCAAATGTGTTCCTGAATGGCACTGATATACTGAGCGATGTCTTCGTCTATGCGCGGCTTTTTATTTCAGTATAGTGGGCGTGGTGTGGCAAAACAAAGACAAAAGATATCAGCGCGTTTTAGTTATAAGTTGCACAGGGGCTTACTTCAATATCTAAAATATTGGTTAAGGCCATGATAAAATTTTAGAAGAACATAGGAGGCATAAAAGATTTCGTGATCTGTTATATGAAGAAGAACAAGGACAAGACATAAAATCATGGTTCCAAACTGGAAAAAAAGCACTTCATTCAGTTAAGTTATTGTCAGATGCTGGTCTCAATAATTCCTGATTACCTGCAAAGAAAACGTTCCTGTAAGTGGCTATCAACTTTTGAAGTGAGAAAGATCTTCATTTGATAACATTGTCATTAAGCAATATATCAATGTTCTAGTTCTGTGCACTTCTTAGCATTCAAAGTTCTCATCATGATATTAACAAAAAAGCCTCTGGTCTGTCCCAATCTAGATCTGTTGTTAATTGTAACAATTGCACCAAACTCTAGTTTTGACATGAACTCCTCATTGATTATTTTCTGTTGTTGTTGCTGTTAATGCAAGTCAACGGTGTGGTCTTACAATTTAAAAAGATACCGCAGATCTTGTATCTATAACTTCCGAGAGATCCTTAAAGCAATGACCGAGTAATTCTTGGGATGTGCTTTTATCTAAGATTGCGGTTTAAATGCTTTCTCTACGAAAACGTTCTGTTTTTTCAAATAGTGGAAACTAGTCGTTCCACTGGTCTTTATTACAGAGCACAGGAATAATCAAATACTACAGAGTGCAGGAAAACTCAATTTGCATTAAAATGTCCAAAGATGGTATTGTTATTGGCAGATTCGATAGATTTTGATAGGCCTTGCTTATCGTTTGTCTTGTCTACAGTCATTTTCTCATCGATCACAAGGTATTGACCGCGTTTTTGCTGGTCTTTATCGAGAGATGACACCGATATCGTTGTGCAGGACTGTCAGTAACACCTGTAGCGGTACAGACTGTAGTTGATGGTTCGTGCATTTCTTTACTCTTGTGCCGCGTGCATCTGTAAAATCTACTTTTGACGCATTTACGGCGATAATAACTCCATCTTAGTTGGTTTCGTGGATCAACAGTCATTAAGAAGGCCAGTATGCTTAAAATTGATATAGCCCTAGTACAAATCCTGAACACGCAGTTAAATACTGTTACAATTAAACAGAACAAAGGCTCAGTCGTGCATGCACCACTAAGAGCAATATCAATCAAGCGCTTTAACGTTTGAAGATTATTGCAGCATGTTATCCTTTCAATTTATGCAGAGTCAGTCTCAAAACGACGAAAATAGGAACTAAACAAAAATTTAAAAGAAGAAACGTTGTTGTATACCTTTTAGATTATGCAACTTTCTAGTTTCTAGTGAATATTGCACACTAGAGATTGGTCAAGCAGCAGTGCCAATTGTAAGTTCTGCCGTCTGCAACCTTGGTTCGTGGTTTGACGTTAACCTTAAGATGACAGAAGAGATTAACAAGTCTTGTCAATCAGTCTACTTTCACCTGCATAATATCAGACAAATAAGGAAGTTCATGACCCCTCAGCCTCCACCAAATTGCTTGTACAAGGCGTGATCATGGCACGCATTCATTATTGCAACGGTCTTCTCTATCTTTAATCTTTAATCACAGTTCGTAACCATACATAACTGATACAAATGAACTAATACTAACATATACAATCGAACAAAAATACAAAAATGGTTAACAGGACGGTAGTAGGGGGAAACCAAATTCCCATGCTAAGACATACCTTCCAAAAAAGAAAAAAGAAAAAAAAGAAAAAAAAAAATTAATTAATATATAAACATATATTAAAAGACTATAAATTAGACTATAAATTATAAACCTAGATGCCTAATAATAATGATGCATAAACTTATATTAAAGACACTATGCCTAATATTTTAAGGTAAATTATGAGCGAAGGTACTTAATCAGTGAAACTTTAAAAGACTGAAGGCTAGGAGATGACATTACTTCAGAAGGCAAAGAGTTCCAATCATTAATATATCTATGAAAAAATGAATATTTAAAATAATTTGTACGGGCAACTTTAGGCCTTATTTTATACTCATGCTTACTTCTAGTTCGAGTTATTCCAATAATATCAACGTAATGATGGCAATTGATATCACAGTAACCAAATATAATCTTATACGTTTGAACTAGGCTAAGATATTTCCGTCTCAGTTCTAAAGAGTCCCATTTTAACTCTAAAAGTCTTTCAGGATATTCTTTGTCGGGGCCACATATTAGTCGGGACGCTCTTCTCTGAATTGCTTCGATTGCCTTGGTGTGTTTCACCAGATAAGGATTCCAGACTGGGCAGGCGTACTCGAGGATAGGTATCACTAGCGCCTTAAAAGCTGTCTTGATACCAGTCTTGTTTGAATAACCAAATGTCCTTTTAATCAAGCTCAACACCTTGTTAGCTTTAGCACAAATTGAGTTAATGTGATAATCCCATGATAAAGACGACTCCAACCAAACTCCCAGGTGTTTGTGGTGGTCCACTTCCGGTAGTAAGATGTTATTCAACGAATATTGACATCTTATTGGATCATTCTTCCGTGTAATGTGTAGGACTTCGCACTTCTCGGTCTTAAGAGTAACAAGCCAACTCTTGCACCATTCAGAGGCAGATGTGTCTATGGCGTACAAGCTGTGCATCTTTCCAAATTCAAACGTCTTCAGAATTCCGCAGCGCGACTTATCACCCATACACCCAAATACTGTCATATTACCCCGGTGCTGCTTGCACTGCATTGGTTACCGGTGAATTTGCTATAAAATCGCTGTGATCTCTTTAATTTCAAGGCTATTCACAATCTGGGGCCTGCGTATTTGAATAATCTCATACATATTAAACGATGATCTCGCTATAACCCGAGGAGTAATATGACCACAATATGGGCGTTATTTTCCAAGACCCAACCGCTAAGTTCAAATGCACTCTTTTTTTTTTTTT